CCCCCCCCACCCCCACCCCGGCCAACTTGTTTATGCGCAACTACGACCACGCCGTCCTAGTCCGCCGCGCTCCACAAGACGATGCCATAAAATCAGCACTTCTGTGAGAGCCCTCAGTGGATTGATTGCACTCAATTAGGTGTGAAGGAGAAATTAGGAATTTACGGTGGCGCCAGCTGGCGAAAGGTTGGAGGTGCTTTTGCTACTTACAGTGGTTCGCCACCTATCAAAAGTTCTGCTCGAAAGGGTTCAAAGGAAAATGGTTAGAAAAGTTAATGCAAGTCCATAGCCCATTGGGCATTGAAATCACCAATATGAGCTTCAGAGGCGACACGCACAACCACCCTTACAAAGTGAAAAAAAAGATGGCCAAAGGAAAGTAATCAACCTGACTAACGGTGAGAGCGTTAGTTTCTCAAACACGTTCCTAAAATCATGTGCCCTTGGCGCGGGTACCCTAGCAAATACTCGTGCCGAGGTCTGTGGTGAAGCACAATTGTGGACGTTAAATCAGGAGCAAAAAGGCACTGGTGTGGGAGGTGATGAATTGGGCGCGTGTCGCTTATAGGGTGACAGAACTCAGGCACGACGTTATTGCCCCATGGCTCACAAGCAAGGCGAGCAGGCCATTAAGTAAATGCAGGCTGCACGTTAGGAAACGAATTAGTGTCATTTTTTGTGTGCTGTTGCGGGCATTAACACCCACCCCCGGGGATAGGAGTTATCGAGGGAAGCCAAACTCACTCGACGACGCTTGATGCTGGCCGAGGCAGTACACTGGAAACGTGCAACAACACGCGATTAAATTGCAAATCGCCTGGGCAATGCGAATTACAATCAGCCGTGCAAATGGAGGTGAATCGACGATAAAGACGCGAAAGGGGGTACGTGATAAATTTCACCAGCACACTTTCGGCCAGGTGGGATGGCCAGGACAACCGGCGACACTACACCGCCTCGAGCTGCAGCAAGGGCACACGGGATTTCCGGCAATTTGCGACTATGGGGTGGGGTGGGGTGGGGGAATTAAATAAACAGCTGGAATCACTGCGGGGAAGTTAAAAGGCACGGTCGCTGGCACACAAACACACCCGAGATACGAATGGTCCTTTGTCGAACAAGACTCACAGCCGAGTGAGTGAACTTTGCTGCATAAAGACGCGACAGTGTTTTTTGAGGGGGTTGATAAGCCGATAGACGCAATTGGTACGCAGACCGCCCCCACACTCGAACGATAAAAGCAAAAGCCGGGGTTATTGTACAAAAAAAGCTGACACAAGGAAAATCAGGTGGCGCGATTGATAATTTGATAAGCGCCTATGCTTAAAGGCAGCCCACAAACCCATTCCAGTGGGTTTTTATGATGAGAAAAAAACATGCAATGAATAGGGGATTTCTCGAAAAAAAAAGAGATGAAACAAATGAGTGCACGTGGCAAAAGGGAGGGCAGTGGCAAGTGATTGGCAATCACACACAGACACACACACAAACAAGAAAACATCGAGATGAGGCGTTGCCGGCGCTTTTCAGGACAAGAAAGTGGCGCGAGAAATGCGCAAATTGTCTCTGAGGCGAGTAAAACGGATTCCTTGTTGAGAAAGGGAAGCAGGTTCACACCGCAGGGCCGAGGGAAAGCGGAAGTTTACACTGGGATGAACAAGAGCTCAACTGCCACAACGGAAACCCCAAACAAGCGGGAAGGCAAAACCGGTGGCGTTTTTAGACCTCCACGATACAATCAGCCTGGAGTGGTGTGCTACCTGACGTCGGTGGAACACCTACCAACGTCCGCGTGGAGCAAGGGTTAAGCTCACTGATCGAGAGGAAAGAAAGCTGTCCAGCCCGTTAGGATTCGATGCTGAAGTCGCGCAAACCATGACAATACACAATAAAAGTAGCTTAGGTGGTCGGGCAAGGAGGGTATTAATTGAGTAAGCACAAACCTTAAGATCATATTTCCTGTGGATGGTCACTCGAGGACTGAAGACGTTGCGCATCGCAAGGAGGTAAGTCTCCTGATCATTGACGGTGATGCGGTACATTCCGAGGTACTGAGGCAACAGCGTTTGGCCATGACAGTGAACAACATACTAAAAGAATACGAATGGCGCGTTAGTGAACCAGGAAATGGGTAACCGAGCTATCGCCACTACTAGTTAGTTAGCTAACAGAAGTGTAGGAACGACAACACGACAGCGTGTTGACGTCAACTCAAAAATGACAGGCATTAAAAACCTATTCATTCGCTTCCGGCGGGAGTTTGCGTCACCGAGAGGACACGACCTTGCAATCAGGAGCAGGCGCTAGCGACAATTGGCATCACAGGGCTAATCAGCCATCAAACGGTTAGAGGCTAAAACAAGCAACCATCGAAACTACCTGCAGGTTAGTGTGATGAGCCAGGCATCATCCAAGGTCCCTGTAAGCATGAGAGTGTGGGAAATTGGTGCTAGTTACTTGAAGTTTGATTCAGTTGTGACCGACCGACTGCAAAATTGGGAGATCGACAGCCAATCAAATTTGGGGGAGAATTCGAAACGCAGCACTACTGTTAGTTAAGTGGACTTGGAAGCGCATTTGAAAAAAAAAAGGCAAATATTTATTTAGCGGAATCTAGAACACAAAATCTAGAACTTAACGTGAATCGGTCAATAAAAGAACACCTATATTATAGTTGTGAACTATGAGTTACGCACCTTCATATCCACATGAACAAAAATGCCAATGCTAATGTGCTCGCAAGTAGGCACTAATATTGCGCATGGCAACAAAACGGTAGTGTGCTAAAGAACAAAGTGCTTACGCTTCCGAGGTAGTAACTCTTTGCTGAAGCATCCTAACCTCCTGACTGTTTTACCAGGTATCAAAACAAGACCCTGAATAAAATAAGCGCTACGTCGTGCTTCGATAACATGCTTTACGAACACTAGACAGCAGTGTGTTATCGGGCGCAATATTTGTGGACTCCGGTCCTATCCAATGATCGAAAGAAACGAACGCATTGACCTTCGGACACGCCAAGCGAACGAGTCACACCACACTGGCAGAAGTTGCGCCTAGAAATCGGACACTACGAGGTCCTGAAATTGAGGCTAATTTCAGTTACCTGATCGGTTGGACAAACAATAATTTTTAACGTAGACAAGTTAACTCCTCAGTTATCCGGGCATATGGCAATTGCGAGAATCGCCAGCCCAAAGAGCCTGTCGGCCTGGTCCTTTCATGTCTGCTTTATCGCTGTATTGCATAAAAAAGGTTCCACATTAGCGCAGGCATCGCTTAAGAACAACCGCGGCTGCCGCGTTTTGCAAGAACTGACAGCACGGAGGCACACCCTAAAGGCTAACTAACACCACCTTAATTCGCAGTCATTGTGCAGTTGATAGCCTGCTCGAGGCTTTTGGGGAAAGTGAGCGCGGCTGGATTGCCAAGTGGCGCCACAAACGAGGCGGAAAGTGGAGGGGCGAATCCCGGGCACATTTTGCTGCAATGAGGCTCGTAAAAATGTTGACGCGCAGGGAGTGGGTAAATCGACGACGCCTCAAAATTGCGGCGACACCGAAAGGTTTCTTGAGCCGAACCGCTGTGATAATTCAGCCGGTTTGGAAAACACCACCAAATGGACCAGATCAGCAATTGATGGAAGGGGAGATCAACAAACATTCTCCCAGTTAAACGACTTCAACTAATCACTTTTGGTAGATAACGTGGTGGAAAGCGAATTAAAAAAGATCAGACCGCAAAACAAGATCGAATTACGCGAAGAACCAGAACGCAGTTATCTACCAGAGATGAGTTATGAGAACCTGGCAATGCGTCGCAAACGAACAAGACTTTTAAATGGACAACAGACGTTCACGGTTCAATGATAGTGCAAGTCCATCGACAGGAGTGGCATGGATTAAGTGAGGCTAATCACCATTGAGCTAACATCGGCAGATTACCAGATGGTTTAATGTCGGGCAAAAAAACCTCGTAAGAACGTCAAAATGCGCTCGGAAGCATTTGTGTGAGAGTGGATGCAGGCCTTCCGAGTTCTACAATAATGAATTACTCTTCCAGAGAGCATGAAATTCGGCCAAAATGCGCACAAAAAACCAGGTAGCCTAGGTTGGCTTGACATTTTCAAAGTACGCATGCGTTTTCTAGACCGCACAATCATCTAGACACACACACACACACACACCAATAAGCGTATCCAAAACTACACGGGAGTAGATGTTACGCGAAAAACTACCGCAAATGAAGTCTGGAGTGAGAAAAATGGATAGATTTTAAATATGTTTCTGGCCTCAATTTTCCCATATTAACATCGCAGATCAATGTGAACCGAAGAAAACGTTTTTGGGTTGCGTGTTGGGATTAATTGATCAAGGTAAGCGCAAACCAATCTTGTCAAGGACTCAACAGAACTAGGATATGCGTTAAGACAGCCGGATCTTAGTAACACGATGCAGGCCTGGTACTACGAGCGAAACACTTCCAAGTCATAGATTACGCAGAATTCAAATATTTGACTGACGAAAGCAGGCACGCACACACCACTAGGCAACAACCAACCTCATGGTAGCTTTCGATGAAATTGTGCATTTGTTCGACCTCTTCGGAGGTGATGGTCTTCAACACATAGTGCCTGTTGTAGGTCACCAAAAACTTGGAACCTGACTTCCCATTAACGCTGTCCCAAAGGGGCTGGAAGCGCGTAAAAGACTCCTAGAGGCGTGGAAAAAAAGGAGTGTTAAAGTTTTAATCAAACGCACAGAGGAGTGCTGGTGTGCGACCTACCCAGTAGTCGCCAGTGTCAACACTGAAGCGTTCTCTGAGATTCTGGAAAGCAAGCGGACAGTACTCCTTGAACTTGAATCGACTGGGCATGTTCTCTCTGCAAGTCAAAGTTTGCATAAATCACCCATAAAAAACATACTTATTGAAGAGGTGGCCCTTCACTTTAATCTTGAGGTAAGCCTTGAAGTCGTCCTTGAGGAGAACAGCTCGGGGCTTCACGTGTTGCAGGGTGGTGAGGGAGTGGTTGATGCCCCACATGAGCACGCTCTTCAGCGGCTCGTTGGCACGAAACAGCTTCAGCTTTTGGCGACCGCCCTTTATTTTCTTCTGCTTTGATTGCGTCGCCATAGCTAGGGGAGTGAGAAAATAAAGCTAACTGGGGCACTAAAGCCTGGACAGGCTGTCAGCAAGTTGCTACAAGGGGAGATGCACGTCGACGTGGTGAGTAGTGAGGAAAACAACAAGTATCCAGAACGGAGGAGTTCTTACGTAACCTTGAGACTTGATGCGGTTCATCCAAGTGGAAACTTCAATAATTAGATAAGGACTAAGTACACTAAAGAAAATCTGCCATAGTATTTCCCAGGAGCGCGTTTGCCATCAACAACAAACAGGAGACTTGAAAGTCGCCATTGTGGAAAGCTTTGGGTCAGTTCTTGTGAACCGCGGTTTGAGTAAAAACAAGCCCAAAAGTGATCGTTACTCGCCAATGACATGACTTGCAAAACAGATGAACCACCAAAACCTTTTTGTCGGAATGCAATTAAAAAGGACTAATTATTGACAATTTCGGTGTTGTTTCGTTGGGCGTAAATTTCTTAGTAAGACAAGGTATAGTGGTAGGGGTTTTGAAGCATTACCACGTGTAAACGAGAGAAAAAAGTCGAGAATGATGGCGGAAATGCAATTTATCACCGACTTGACAGGACTGGGGCACTGTGCATCGTTTTTGCGCACTGCGCGACCACTGATCGAAGGACCCAAAACCAAGCAGCCGATCAATGTCAGATCTGCTTCTTAGGTGAAGATGTAATTCTAATTCCGGCGTTATTTTGAAGCTTGAGTGCAATGGGAACACTTGCAACGAACAAACGAAATCCAAAAATCTCGACCATACAGAATGACTAGTGGTGTAATTTGAGAGTAAGAAATGTGAGATGCTGACATTCACAAAATCCTCTCAGATTTAAAAAACACCTTTAGTGAAGGCATACATAACTCAGCTTTCAAGGTACTCGCCAAAGGAGACGTGTTTGGAGCCTCAGGAAAGGAGTGGAAAGCCCAAATCAGAAAAAAAATGCACTGGTGAATAGGACACTTATAGCAACAACTCTAGACGATGTAAAAAGACCTGACACAATTCGTTCATCCGGGTGCAGAAATAACAAGGCCGGGAGGAATTAAATTAGAGGGAAAAACGCGTAAGTCAGGCGCGTGGGAACTACTGGCAACAATTAACAGGGCAGGATCAGAGTAGTTGAAAAGAAAACTGTTATCACAACCGCCAGACACAGGAGGCCATCGAAGCCAATGCGCCCGGTTCTTTCAAGTGTGGCCGTTAAACAGAAAGTAAATGAATGAGGCCCAAGTAGCATAATGGTCTGGGAATGCATGAGGCAAAATTTTAATGAAGCATGCTATCGTGAATAGAAGAACTCAAAGTCACGTCATAAAAAAGCACATTCAGTCATGCGCGCTCAAAAATTGCATTTAAAGAAGGTTGACACCAGTAAAGAAGTCTGCACGAAGTTTTATAAGTACGTGCCATTTTTAATTCGAATACCCATTAAAGAATTACATATTTGTGATACGTACCGGCGAAATAGCGTGCTCTGAACTTCGTCTAATAGAAATTTAAGAAAATGAGAAGCACAAAATTTTGGTTCCTAGACCTCGTTAAACCTGGACTTTTGTCGATTTTTTATCATACAGAATATGCACAAGGTATGCGCAAAAGTGGGGCTTAAGTTAAAAATAGCAATGAAGTGACGAAATAAGAAGACATGACGGAAATAGTGCAAGTTAACGCGTGTAGACGATAGTAAGAAATGTCACATAAAAGTACCACCTATGATTTAAACCCAATAAAATTGATGATTAAAGTGGCGAAGCCCATTTCTGAAATTTTTGTGCCCACACGGTTCCATGTTGATGTCTTGGCGAGGAAGAATACAACGGCGCATTACATTGTTGGAGAGCAGGAAGGAAAACTAGAAAAATTTCAAGACGTTACAATTTCCGGAAGAAGGAGAGAGGGAGAAAGACAAAAACACAAGGGGAGCCAACCAAAGTTCCCAAGGGGGTTCAACAGAAGAGGCATCAACAAACTGGATTGTAAGCGAGATTCGACCACCAAAAGACTTGACTCGCCAGAAAGTGATCGGAACGCCGGACATCGCTAAACAACTTGCAGATTGACCAAATGTTTCGCGGAGAAGCACTTAAAACTTACATTTATTGAAAAACAACCCTCCCCAAATGTTGCTCGGTAGAAAGTGCAAGTACATCGAGGAATTTTGGAAGGTTTATGGTTTGATGTGCGAAAATATCTTATTTTAGCTTCAGTAATGGCAGTTCAGACAAACTTAGGTACCCAGAAATATTTAAGTGGTATTTGCCTGATTGTGCGGTACGAGTCAGGAAATTTTGATTTTATTGATATCATGGCACGCCAACAGGTTACTAAGGGATCATCCGACTTTACTGACAATTAATCAAGACCCTATTTATGGTTAAATCAATTGCTTGAATATTTACATTCGCGATTTGACCCCAATTCAGCTCGAGGCAAAACACCCAAGTAGACTGTTGTTGAGCCTTCTTCCAACAGTAAGCCTACCTTTGACATCCGTTTTGGTTACATCCGAACTTGTAGGTTGGATTTTTGTGAAAAAATTAGATTTAGCCCACGATGTCACTTTAGCACAGGACGGTGATAACCAAAAACTTCTTTAAGCCATTATACACGCTGCTTGAATATCGTTCCAAGTGTGTGCAACCTATCTTTGGGGTCAGGGTAGGATTATTTTAACAGGAGAATATGTAACCGGCAATTACCAGGTCACCTTAACTTGAAAATGCAGGTCATCAGAGCAAAATGCTAAGACTAGAAAACTTGTGCCTTTAGAAAAGCTCATGCGGTCGCCCTTAAGGTCTACATTCAAATCTTAAAGGGGATTTTTTTAATACGAAATCACCTTGACCCTGAAAACGCTTGAACAAGCACGAATAAAATTTACGGGATTTAAGATTGGTTCACATTGGCGCTATTTCACGACCACTTTGAGACCAGTTGTACACTGGAATGTAACAAATCTAACATAAACCACACAAAAGACTAAGAGTTGCACTTAAATGATAAAGTAAACAACCCAAGTCAAGAGCAGAATGGCAATCGCAAATTACATATGTGATATTCCCAACTTTGATACACTAAAGTAATAACAACGGAAGCCTACCAAACTGTTATTTTAGCAACACTGCTACTGGTTGAGAACAAGGGTACATTTTCAATACACAAAAGGTAGTATATTGAATAAATCAACTAAATTATTTTCCAGTTACGATACAATACAATGTACACATTTGGTAAATACTGTTAGACATGCAGCAAGAGCTGTCCTGACGCTATATACGATGGGTTGTATACCAGGGTGTCACAGACGCAGCAGATTCAGGCCAAATGCCAGATACAACAGGAAAGTTTTCATGAAGTTTAAATGCAACCAGATTTTAACAAAATTAGGGCGAATGAGTGCTAGGTGACACATCAGATCGCACAACAATTAATCAGAAGTGTAATGTGATCGCAAAAAATTGAGATTAATAAATAAGACATTTGATCGAAGTAATTTGGGTTTTATAAAAAGTCTCTTTGATAAGGAATCAAAGCCAATAATGAGGTTCAAAGTATGGACACAGTAGCCCAATGAATAAATGAACCGACAATGGATTCGGACCCGAGAAATAGAGGTAAATATATTTCAAATCTAAACTGTAAGATACACTAACATATACAAAGGAATGCCTCAATGAATTTTCAGCCATGGCAAAACCAAGACATACTGGGGTCCTCATGCATAACTTCCCTCATTTCGTCCTCCAGCCAGTAAGGTAAGGTAATTAATAATGTGGATTCACGGAGACGATGAACAGACCACAAACCATCGGGGTGATTTTTTTATTTTATGCCCGCAACACCCCCGTTGCATTAGATTAAAATGTTTATTTATGAGGCAGCGCTACCTTAAACTCACTCATACAGCTACGTGTTTCAACAAACTATTGCCCATGTATGAAAAAAAACAATGTTTTTTTTTCTAGTAGAATCTTATTGGCTGAAATCCGTTTGTAAAACAAAGTTACGCAGAACTCTGATAAGGAAAGTGTTGTGAACCTTGAACTTAAAAGAAAGATGTTGAAATTTCCAAACGGGAGTCAAGCAATTTTCAAGAACTGACATTTTTGAAAACCGATATTAATGTAGAGCTATAGAATGAAATGCACAAAATATATAATCTCTAGAATATGAACAATTCAAATGACAGACACGGCAGGAGGGAACCGCTGTGAAAAAAAGAATGAACTAAATTAAATTGAATAAATAATGGTGAAAACCCAAACAAAAACATATGATTGATCTAATACCCTCAAAACCTAATGAACCGCCTACAGATTCTGGTAAGGAACACAAATAGGAAATAACTCATAATAGCTGTTAACGAGAACTAAAACGAACGTCTAATTCAACGGTTGCAATGTCAAAAGGCATCCAAATAGTTTAAAACCCCATTTTTAATAGAGTCGAAGGAGAGCTTACTTATTAAAATTTATACAAACGACCACACGAAGGTAAATAAATATTTAGGAAAGTCGGAGACTGCATGCAAACACAAATATTGAACATAATTATTGTGCAATATGAAGGCCTAGTTGATATTAGAGCTGCTACCTAAGGACTTATGCTGACAAAAATACGAGCCAATGACATAAAATTCATTAAATCTCAAAAGGTAAATAGGTAGACCTACCCACTAAATATCACCACCAGTAACCTTGCGCGAAAAACGCGGACTACCAAAACTCGGTTTCTATTGGGAGAAGAGTCCCTGAAAAGAGTAAAATGATTAAAACAACTGTCACCTATATTTAATTAGAAGTTGTGTTATCAGTAAGTTTACAAAATATACTACCACATAATTTGAAAAAAATATTTTGGAGTATATATGCTTCTAATGTAAACATTGGTTCGCTAATTATTTCATGATATTTTTGCAGGTAACGTAAAAAACCGTATGGAGAAATGTATGCACATTCCTAGAATTATCTAAAATTTTAAGCAAACTCGCCATGGGATGTCAGTTATTTCAATGAGGCATAAAAGTAAAAAACGATAAATATTTGCAAGCTGTATTTGAATTTTTGACCTTTTATAAGATTTAAGCTCATTTTCTGCACACTGTCAAAATTGACAGTGTCACCTAAACCATTATCTGGACTAAG